CCTCTGTGCCTCAGTTTCCAAATGTGTCTGGTCTGTATGTGTGTGTGTGTGTGTGTGTGTGCGCGCGCGTGCGCGTGCACACGCTGTGGGTTTTGTTTTTCTCCATGCCCTCAATGTTTTGGGGCGTGCGTGGTTCATAGCCGGCAGGTGGGAGCATCAATCCGAGCGGGCCACCTTGGGCCACTTGGATGATCCCAGACTGAAAACCAAAAGGAGGAAAAAGCTCGGGGGGGTGGGGCTGTGCGTGCAGGAGCTCTGGAGACCTACCCCCTCCCCATCCTCCCCCATGGAGACCCCCACCTCCTCCCACAAATACGTGAGAAAACTGAGATGGGAGGAGAATGTGATTGAGCAGGAGCATGGCGGTCTCCGAATGGCCAAAAGGCTTCACTCACCGCAAAGAACTAAGAGTTAGGGGGTCGGAGTGATAGCCCAGAGGGTAGGGTGTTGGCCTTCCATGCGGCCGACCCGGGTTCGATTCCCAGCATCCCATAGGGTCCCCCGAGCACCGCCAGGAATGATTCCTGAGTGCAAAGGATGCTGATGATAAACGCTGAAATCACAGAAATTGGGAGCCACCAGAATTTTTTTGGGGGGGTCACACCCGGTGGTGCACAGGGGTTACTCCTGACTCATGCACTCAGGAATTACTCCTGGCAGTGCTCGGGAGTAACCGCTGAGCATCGCTGGGTATGACTCAAAAAGCAAAAACAAAAAACAAAAAACTGAGTCATTCTGGGCATCCTTGTACAGGGGTGTGACGTGAGAACCCCAAAGCCTTGTGATAGGCTGCTCACTTTTGGGGAGGTTTTGGTTTTTTTTAGAGGTAGCACTAGGCTGCTCACTTTAGTATTCAGACTGTGGAGGGAGGAATTCAGGGCACAGAGGAGGAGAGAAAGTTCCGGAAAGCCCCGTGCAAGACATGAATGAGATGCAAAGCCACCGAAGGTGTCTCAGAACTGCAGGCCTGCTCGGAATCGGGGAGTGTGAGCTCCCCAGACCTTGGCCCCTCACCCCCTTCCCCGTGGCCTTGCCCAGGGAAGCAATAAACTCTCCAGTGAAATATTTGGGACTTTCTAGGCCACGACGTCTCAAACTTTACCACACTGACTCTTCGGGAGAAGCACAGCGGGTTGGCTGGGCTGTGACGCAGACGCCAAGCCCGGCCGACCCCAAACAGCAGCTCCAGAACCTCACACGAGGCCCGCATGTCCCCGTGGACATGTCCCTGTGGACAGACACAGCAGTTCTCAGAGATTTGTTTTCTACAGAAATCAGCCTTTGAATGTGTTGTTAGCATTAGAAAAGTCCGCCCTTGAGGGCTTGCTACGGGAAAGGGTGGGGTGAGGGGGTGGAGGGGTTGGGGTCAACATCTAGAACAGACTCTCATGAAGAAATTCGGAAACGGTGGCGTTCAAATGAAGAAGAGGAGGGGCTGGAGCAATAGCACAGCGGGGATGGCGTTTGCCTTGCACACGGCCGACCCGGGTTCAATTCCCAGCCTCCCATAGGGTCCCCTGAGCACCGCCAGGGGTAATTCCTGAGTGCAGAACCAGGAGTAACTTCTGTGGTCACCGGGTGTGACCCAAAAAGCAAAACAAAACAAAACAAAACAACAAATGAAGAAGAGGATAAGAAGAGCCAAAAGTAGACAAGGCAAACTAACTTGACTTGCCATTTCGTTTTTTGGGGGGGGGCTTTTTGGGTCACACCCAGTGATGCTCAGGGGTTACTCCTGGCTCTGCGCTCAGGATGGTGGTGCTTGGGGGACCTTATGGGATGTCAGGGATCGAACCCGGGTCGGCTGTGTGTGTGCAAGGCAAACACCCTCCCTTCTGCTGTACCCTTTGCTCTGACCCCTTGCTAACTTTTAACTAACTTGTTTTTGCGATAACAGAAAATTGGTCTTACTTTGCAAGTTCCCTAACAGAAAATGCTTAAAGATAAAGAGAAAAACACTACAAATGCATATGAAAAAAACACTAGGTACAAAGTCAAATGTTTTCCAAGGACTCAGGATTTGAATAAAAAATATTGCACGGCTTTGGGTCAGAAGTGGGCTGTGAAGACGGACGCCCCCTTCCCCGCTGTGGGGGCTCAAAGCTGCCCTGGGCTTTGGGGCTGTAGAATTTCCTGCCCTGCGCTCCCCCCAACACCCCACAACCCTAAATGCTCCACGGACGCCCCATCCTACCTTTTCTTCCCACTTGCTTCTGGTTCCCTCACTCGCCACTTCTAGAGGTGGTGTTTTTTTTTTTCTAAATTTCATTCACTAAACAATTTATGAATTGAATTAAAACAAATGAGATGCAAATACATTCCAGGCTTTCTCCCTCATTTTCAAATTACATTTTCAGTCCACTCAACCTGTTATAATCTCATCGTGATTTTCATTTAAGAGAGCTAAATGGATATGTGATGATTGTTACAGGAACTAACACCGCACAATTAAATGTTGAGGTGTTGCTAGATAAAGCTGTGTTTGGATTTGCATAAACACAGTGCCAGCAATTCTAGCCCTGGCTGGCAGAAATTCCGTGAGAGAGACTCGCGTGCCGAACTTCGCCTCATTACCGGGAGGACGGTCGCGAAGAGCCGCAATATCCCCGACTTGGGATGAGAGCCATCGGATTGGAGGGCCTCATTTATCTTCTGTTTGGAAACTTCACTTGCCGTGCCTGAAGGAGCACAGAACAGGCACCATTCCTACTGAGTGTCACCTGATGCCGGGGCATCGGACCAAAAATCAACTATCCGGATACGGGAATCCAGTCCTCTTTAGGATTGAGCTTGCTAATCTTTCTTTCTTTTCTTTCTTTCTTTCTTTCTTTCTTTCTTTCTTTCTTTCTTTCTTTCTTTCTTCTTTCTCTCCTTCCTTCTTTCTTTCTCTCCTTCCTTCCTTCCTTTCTTTTTTCTTTCTCTCTCTCTCCTTCCTTCCTTCTTTCCTTCCTTCCTTTTTTCTTTCTTTCTTTCTCTCCTTCCTTCCTTCCTTCCTTCCTTCCTTCCTTCCTTCCTTCCTTCCTTCCTTCTTTCCTTCCTCTTTCTCCTTCCTTCCTTCCTTCCTATTTTTTTTTTTTGTCTGTAGGAAGAAACGGCGGCTTGGGATTCTGCAGATACTAGCAGTGGAAGGAAAATGCAGAGGAGACCGTGGCAAACCTACCTAAGGTGGACGATTCAACGCCAAGCGGACAGAGGTGGAAGCATCAACGCCAACATTGCTCAGCTGGCCCAGAGATGCAGCTGAAACCGTGATGCCGGGTTCATTCCCCCTAATAAACATCCAGGGCTTGGGAGAACCCAAAGCCTGGGCGACACCTGGCCATGTCCCCGGATGACCTCCTTTCCGACTCTCTGCCTCTGTGCGCCCCTGCTCAGGGGACAGATCAACAGGGTCCAGCCTCAGAGAAGCCTGTCCTGGACCAGGGGAAGACGAGCTTCAACCCATGGACACACCCAGACAGACCTCCCACCATCTCCCGCCCCTCAACACGATTATTTTTTTTTTCTTTGTGGGTCACATCCAGTGATGCACAGGTGTTCCTCCTGGCTCTGCACTCAGGAATCACTCCTGGCAGTGCTCAGGGGACCCTATGGGATGCTGGGGATCGAACCCGGGTTGGCCTTGTGCAAGGCAAACTCCCTACCTGCTGTGCTATCGCTCCCGCCCTGCCCCAGGGCTTTTTTAAATTGTTGTGTTTGTTATGTTTTGCCACACCCAGCAGCTTAATGGTGCTCGGGGCTGACTCCTGGCTCTGCACTCAGGGATCACTCCTGGCAGGCTTGGGGATGTCTATGGGATGCCGGGGACCCTATGGGATGCCACATAAATTGTTCAGTGAATGAAATTTAAAACAACAACAACAACAAAAACCACCTCTAGACCTGGCCAGTGAGGGAACCAGAAGCAAGTGGGAAGAAAAGGTGGGATGGGGAGTCCATGGAGCATTCAGGTTGTGGGGTGTGGTGGGAGTCGCAAGGCAGGAAATCGAACCCGGGTCGGCTACCTGCGAGGCAAATGCACTTCAGGCTGGACTGTCGCTCAGGCCCCATCAACAGGATCCTTTTCTGTCTCTTCTCGGGTCACACCAAGAGGTTCCTGGGACCACAGCTGGGCCACCCACTCACACTTACATCGCTTTGAACGATCCCCAGCGCACCCCCCAGACGCCCCTCTACCCCCAGACTATAACACATCCATATGCTGGCATCTCCCACCGAGGGCACACACTCACGTGTGGTTTTAAAGAACACAAACTGGGGTGCGTGTGGGGGGGGGCTGGCAGAGGAAATGGGGCTGACTCGCTCCTGTCTGGGCGTGTGGAGGGCAGGAAGACATCTCCCTGGGCTCAGCACCCAAATGACCCCACCTCTTCGCCGCCTCCTATGACGGCCCAGTGGACGCACACGTGGACAGAGCCCTGGGCTCTGCTCTAGGCATCACCCCCCCCTCCTCAGTGGGCGCAGGACCCCGCTCATCAGCTGCAACCCCCCACCCCCACCCCACAGACGGCGCCACACGGAAGGAGAAGGCAGGCGGCGGGTGTGACAAGCAAGAGGGAGGTTCACTAGAGCATTGGGGGGAAGCCTCAGCTTTGGGCCTGTCTCCCTCAAGGCTTAGATCCCCAAGGGGTGTGTTTGTGCGTGTGTGTGTGTGTGTGTGATGGCGTGAATGACCACTTATCCTCAGCTCCCGCCTGAAGATGGTCACTTTGCCCGTGTGTGTGTGTGTTGTGTACAAGGGCGTGAGTGACCATTTACCCTCAGCTTCTACCCGAAGATGGTCACTTTGCCCGTGTGTGTGTGTGTGTTTGTGTGTGTTCTGTACAATGGCGTGAGTGCCCACTTACCCTCAGCTTCTGCCCAAAGATGGTCACTTTGCCCATGTGTGTATGTTGTGTACAATGGCGTGAGTGACCACTTACCCTCAGCTTCTGCCCGAAGATGGTCACTTTGCCCATGTGTGTATGTGTTTGTGTATGACGGTGTGAGTGGCCACTTACCCTCAGCTTCCGCCCGAAGATGGTCACTTTGCCCTTGATCTGTTCCTTCCGCAGACGCCACTCGATGGAGTTGAGCCCGTTCTCCATGGGCAGGGAGATGTTGCAGCGGCCGATGGTGGGGGTGACCGTGCCGGCCAGCACGTGCGGCTCACTGTGGAAGCTGACGGCCATGCCGTTGGCATACAGCACCCGCAGGGTCCCGTTGCTGCAAAGCTGGTAGCTGTTTCGAACTTGATCTGGAGCCGGCCATGGGCAGGGCGGGGGTGGGGGGGGTGGACACAGGAACAGAAATCACTCAGAGAATGGATCACACACATTCCACACCCCACCCTGGCCCCTTCACACCTTCTTTTTTCTTTTTGGGTCACACCCAGTGATGCTCAGGGGTTACTCCTGGCTCTCTGCACTCAGGAATCACTCCTGGCAGTGCTCAGGGGACCCTACGGGATGCTGGGAATCGAACCCGGGTCAGCCATGTGCAAGGCAAACGCCCTCCTCGCTGTGCTATCGCTCCATCCCGCCCCGTCCCTCCCTCCTCCTCCTCTCCAGGTTTCCATGGCACCCACAGCTGTCAGTGTCTCTCCTTCAATTAACACACAGACAACGTGAAGGCAAGTAGCGGAGATGCCACTAATCCGCGGAAAGAAACACATTATTAATACGTGACACTCGAGGAATAATTGTGCTGTGGGACTTTGCTTTTTTACTCACCGTGGGCTATTAATAGCGTGCTGACAGACGGCTAGTACCTGCATGTTGGGGGTGGGGGTGGGGGTTGCTGGTCAGGTTCCCGGGATGTCTAACATATAGATTGTAGCTCATAGGGAATATCCTTGTTAAATATATATATATATATATATATATATATATATATATATATACGCACACACACATATACACACACACACCCACACACACAGTGTATAGAGCGATAGCACAGTGGTAGGGCGTTCGCCTTACAAGTGGCCAACATGGCCAACCCGAGTTTGATTCCTCCGCCCCTCTGGGAGAGCCCGGCAAGCTACCGAGACTATCTTGCCCGCACGGCAGAGCCTGGCAAGCTCCCCATGACGTATTCGATATGCCAGACACAGTAACAACAAAGTCTCCAATGGAGACGTTACTGGGCCCACTCGAGCAAATCGACGATCAACGGGAGGGCCTTTACCTTTACCATATATATATATATATATATATATATATATACAATACACACACATATATATCACTGTCACTGTCCTCCCGTTGTTCATCGATTTGCTTGAGCGGGCCCAGTAACGTCTCCATTGTGAGACTTGTTGTTACTGTGTTTGGCATATCGAATACATCACGGGGAGCTTGCCAGGCTCTGCCGTGCGGGCGAGATACTCTCGGTAGCTTGCCGGGCTCTCTGAGAGGGCAGAGGAATCGAACTCGGGTCGGCCATGTTGGCTGCGTGCAAGGCAAACGCCCTACCCGCTGTGCTATTGCTCCAGCCCATACATATAAATATATTATATAAATATATATATTTGGGAAATGGTTGTTTTCCTGATTCCTGCATCGAACCCAATGTTTCTCTGACCACGGGCCCTTTCAACCTTGTTTTCAATCTGTCTTATCAGTGGTTCCCCCAATTCAGCACTGTGATATCCTACTGATGTGACCCTATATCCCCCTTAGACTTATCCCAGGGACCCATATGGAGGTTGAAAAAATGCTGGCCTGGGGCTGGAGTGATAGCACAGCGGGGAGGGCATTGGCCTTGCATGTGGCCGACCTGGGTTCAATCCCCGGCATCTCATCTGGTCCCCCAAGCACCGCCAGGAGTAATTCCTGAGTGCATGAGCCAGGAGTAACCCCTGAGCATCACTGGGTGTGACCCAAAAAAAGAAAGAAAAAAAATCACAAGTGTTCGCTTCGTAGCATTTTCTTCTATATGGGGGAGTCCCCTCTGGGCAAAGTGGAGCCCAAAGTCTGTTAGAGCCTCTCTCCAACCCTTGAAATAAATTCCCTACGGTTAAGTGTTCACTCTGTGGCATTATCTTCACCTACTGGGCAGCCCTGGAGTTGGGGACACCTGCCCCTCCCCCCGCAGGTGACAATCTTGTCCCATGGGGACTTGAGCCTGCCTTGAGGCTCCACCCGGAACCCCCTGGGGCGGGTGTGTGTGTGTCTAGGAAGTCGTGTGGGCCTGGGGTGGAGTCATGGGGGTCCCCCTTGGTGATGCCTCACCTTGTACCACGGTATAGGAGGCCTCCACCGAGGACAGGTTGGTGATGACGGTGACGTCGTCGTCGCGGTTGGAGTTCTCGATGTCGATGGTGATGGCGCGCTCCATCTCCCGGTGCAGGCTGGTCACCACCCCCGTGGGACGCGTCACGTTACTCAGGCGGCCCTCGTGGTCATAGCTGCAGGGGGGCAGAGAGAAGTATGCCACTGAGTCAGTGCCACCGCCCAGCCCTGCCACGGGAGGAGGTGGGGGCCAGACCCTCACCCCTGCATGGTCCCCGGGTGCTCCCAAAGGGAGGAGGAGGAGGAGGAGGAGGCCCTGAGCACTGAGCAGGGAGGGGAAGGGGAAAAGGAAGATTCTGTTTCTCCTCACCAGCAGCGGGCAGCCGCTTCAGATAAGTGTTGCCATCCCCCTCTGCCGCCCATTTTATTGTATTTTTATGAGTTCCTGGTTTTTGCTCCACACCTGGCAATGCTCAGGGCTGACTCCTGGATCTGTGCTCAGGAATCACTCCTGGCGGTGCTTGGGGGACCCGATGGGATGCTGGGGATCGAACCCGGGTCGGCCGCGTGCAAGGCAAACACCCTCCCTGCTGTGCTAGCAAGCACTTCAGCACCTCCATTCCCCATTTCCAGCAACCCAGCAAATCCTTGGGCTCTTTCTGAGAACGGGAAGTTAATTCCACAAGCTCATAGATTCTGCTCCTAGACCTTTGGCTAAGAGTACACTCTAAGAAATAACGGGCAGGGGCCGGAACGATAGGACAGTGGGTAGGGCGTTTGCCTTGCATGTGGCCTACCCGGGTTCGATTCCCAGCATCCCATATGGTCCCCTGGGCACTGCCAGGAGTGATTCCTGAGTGCATGAGCCAGAAGTAACCCCTGAGCATCGCTGGGTGTGACCCAAAAAGCAAAAGAAAAAAAAAAGGAATTAACGGGCAACAGCTATGCAGTTGGTTGTACAGGGAAACCAACTGGCCACACACTAGCCAGATTTGGGCTTGAAAACCCCCACATTCTCCAGAACATTCTTGCCACTTGATCAGTAACACAAAGACCCAATTTTCCCATATGCCATCTCCCCCCCCCCACTCCCCTGCAAAGTGCCATAATAATCTTAGTCTCATACGAGGTTCCTCCCCAGCTGAAGAGTTTCTTTCTCTTCTCCTTTCCAATCAATATTTTTAAATTTACAATTCTGAGTCTCAGCATCTTTACCCGGAAGAATCGTGGATGGATGCAGGGAGCCGCTCCCCCCCCCCCCCCGCCCCCAGGAAAACCATGAGCATTATTGCTCCAATGTTACTCCAAGCGTGAGAGTCAGATGTGGTCCCCAAGCCATACAGATCAAAGGAAAAAAAAACACAAGGCTGAGAGAAGGCTTGTAGCCTGGTTGTGAGGTGGCACCAGGCCAGGAGCGAGAAATGGCCAGTAGAGAGACCCCTCCCATCCCTCACAGGACACTGGTCCCTCAATACAGTGAGGGATGGTGGCCATGATGCTTTTTTTTTTCTTTTTGGGTAATACCTGGAGATACTCAGGGTTTTCTCCTGGCTCTGCACTCAGGTGCTCGGGGGATCCTATGGGATGCTGGGGATTGAACCTGGGTTGGCCGCATGCAAGGCAGATGCCCTCCCCTCTGTACTATAGCTCCAGCCCCCAGTGCCTGTTTTTTTACCCACCCCTAGTTCTCAAATTCTGCCTAAAGCTTGCAGTCCCGATAAGAAGTGCCATTTGTGTGTGCCAAGTTTTGAACCCAGTTTGCTGCCCACACACATACCAAGTCCCACCAATCTCACCACCAAAGCTTCAACACCATCCTCACACCGTCCCACCAAATGCTCCATCATGCATATGCAGTGACCCCAAACTCACCACTCTGCATATAACATCCCACCAATCATGTCATGCCACCGCAGAGACCAATAACTACCAATCTTGCCACAGCTGCAGGAGTCTCAGGAAAAAAAAAAAAAAACCAAAACAACAACTCCGAGCCGGAGCCAGAGCACAGCAGGTAGGGCGTTTGCCTTGCGCGTGGCCCATCTGGGTTCGAATCCCAGCATCCCATATGAGCACCGCCAGGAGTAATTCTGGGGTGCATGAGCCAGGAGTCACCCCTGTGCATCGCTGGGGTGTGACCCCCAAAAAGCAAAAATCACAACAACAACCCGAAGATCACTGGCCTGGGTTTGCTCACACGTGGAGCGGAAAAGCGACTCTTTCCAAGAGCCAATTTCTAGGTAAGTCTGGGAATGTTTCTCGGTTCCATTCAAGAAGGATTAAAATCATGCTCGTGAGTTCCCTGAGCTTGGAACCCCTCCCGGACTATTTCCCAGCTAGGCATCAAGCCTCTCAGCCCGACATCATTTCTGCGGCTTTAGGGTCATCCCCAGCTCTCACAGGTGCTTTGTCCTCCATGGCGGGACCTTCACTCTGAGCTGCCACAAGGAGAGACCCCCACAATCCCCAGGACGGGAGGAGCAGGAAACTGGGAGAGGCACGCTGCAATGCTCAGCTTGTCCAGCAGGTGGCACCAGCTTCCTTCCACATTCTCCCAAGCCCGGTTATGGCAAAAACAGAGAGGAAATATCCGTGGACCATTTGCACCCCGGACAATGAGGGGTTCGGTCCTCTTGCACCTCTCCTTTGTAGGAAAACTCCCTCCCTGTCTTGCCTAAATTCCCAGCTAGCGTCAACTAGTTACCCAGAAAACAAACAAGGGATTCCATTGCACGGGGGGAGGGGGGTATTCCTGGATCCTTCCCCATCAAGGAGATACGGCAATTAGGGAAGTCGTGTCCACGCGGTTTCCCACTAGCATTTAATACCCATGGCACTGGGCACTCCTTGCCTCCTCAGGAGGGAGAGGGGTTTCAGGGGGCTGGGGGGGGGCAGACTGATCAGTAGGAGATAATTGTTTGGGGAAATATGACTGGCTTGCCCATCTTTTTAATATACCTAGCACTTTATCCGTATTGATCTGCTTCTGCTTAAAGAGGAAATTTAGAGTCTATCTACCTGTCTGTGCAATCAAGCGTGTTGTTGGACCTACTGGCAAATTAGAGGGGGCCCCCACAGGGACCCAGCCTTATAGATTCTAATTTCCGCACCCTCGGCAACCATGCATAATCAGCAGAGTTAATCAACACTGGATCGACCAGGTGCTGGATATGGCCAATATCCTCCACTTGGAAAGGATTCCCAGCCCTACACGGGAGACGCCTTTTTGTTTGTTTATTTTTGGGGGCAATGCTTGGCATTGCTCTGGGGTTATTCCCAGCTCTGCACTCAAGAATCACTCCTGGCGGTGCTCAGGGGACCCTGTGGGGTGCCAGGAATCGAGCCTGGGCTGGCCACGAGCAGGGTGAGTGCCTTACATGCTATGCTATCTCTCTGGCCCCCAAACTGTCATGAAATTTTTTTTTTTTCCTTTTTGGGTCACACCCGGCAATGCACAGGGGTTGCTCCTGGCTCTGCACTCAGAAATTACTCCTGGCGGTGCTCGGGGGACCCTATGGGATGCTGGGGATCAAACCCAGGTTGACCACGTGCAAGGCAAATGCTTCCCCGCTGTGCTATTGCTCTGACCCCACTGTCATGAAATTAATTGAATTACTTCATTTTCATGATTCAGTTTTATTTTCTCTTGGGGCCACACCCATGGATGCTCAGGGCTGACTCCTGGCTCTGCACTCAGGGATCACTCCTGGTGGTGCTCTAGGGACCACTGGGGATGCTGGAGATCGAACTGGGGTTGGCCATGTGCAAGGCAAGCACCCTGCCTGTTATACTCTCTCTCTGGTCCCCAAACAAACTGTCAAATTAATTAGTTTTTTTTTCTTTGCTTTTTGGGTCACACCCAGCAATGCTCAGGGGTTACTCCTGGCTTTTGCATTCAGGAATTACTCCTGGAGGTGCTTGGGGGACCATATGGGATGCCGGGGATCGAACCTGGGTCGGCCGCATACAAGGCAAATGCCCTACCCGCTGTGCTATCGCTCTGGCCCCAAATCAATTAGTTTCTATGGTTCAGGTTTAATTTTTTGGCTTTTCTTCTTTTGTGAGGGGGGGGGTGTTTCACCCAGCAATGCTCACTCCTGGCTCAGGAATTATTCCTGGCAGTGCTCGGGGGATCTAACCCGGGGTCTGTGGCGACCTAGGCAAGCACCCTACCCACTCTGCTATCTCTCTGGCCCTGGCAGGGAGTTTCTAGAGGTATCTGGGAGTGGGAATGGGTACCATCTTGATGTCTAAGTTGGGGGAAACCTAAGTGCCACGTAAGAGAGGCATCGGACAAAGGCCAAGCCACGGATCGGGCAAGGTGGGGAGAGCGCCAGGAAGAGACCACACGCCCCAGCTGGACTTACTCGTAGAAAGTCGTCCACCCGGTCTCATCGCTCTTGGTGGCCAGGAGACCCGTGGTGCCGTCGTAGGTCATGAGGCCCAGCTCCAGGTTCTGCGTGGCCACGGCCTTGAGGCCGCCGTGGGCGCCCACGGTCAGCGTGATGATCTGGTTGTCGGGCATGAGCAGGTGGCGGGGCTGCCCGCCGCTGTCCCGCCGGATCTTGAGGGAGTTGCCGCTGTTGTCGATGAGCTCGGTGACGTGGTTGTCGGCGCTGTAGGTGAAGTTGTAGAGGTACTCGCCCGTCACCAGGCTCATGGTGTACTGGTGGATGCCGTCGGCGTTGAAGACGTACAGCTCCTGCTCGCCGGGCGAGGCGGCCTCGTACTGGTTGAAGGCGTTCAGCACCGGCTTGTTCCTGCTCACCGCCCGGATGCGGATGTTGCCCAGGTCGGCCACGTAGATGGTGCCGTCGGGGGCCACGGCCAGGGAGGAGGGCGCGTTCAGGATGGCGTCCGTGGCGTAGGCGTCGTCCCCCGCGTAGCAGTTGCAGTTGACGTCGTTCTTGCAGTCGCAGTCGGAGGGCGCGCCCGCCAGCAGGCAGATCTCGCCGTTGGTGGTGACCTGGCGCAGCCGGTTGATCTTCTTCTCGTCCGTCTCGGTGATGTAGAGGACGCCCGTGTGCGAGAGCGCGATGGCGCTGGCCGACTCCAGGGCCGAGTGGATGGCCAGCTTGCTGAGCGAGTAGTCGATGCCCGGCACCTGGCAGTGCATGGGCCGCCCCGCGATGATGCTCACCTGGTGGTTCTCCGTGATGCGCAGGACGACGTTGTTCTCCAGCACGTACAGCGAGTTGTCCATGGGGTTCACCGCCAGGTCCGTGGGCCACTCCAGGCGCACCTGCGGGGCACGGCGGCTCAGGGGGCGCTCGGGCTGGGGGTGGGTGTGCTTGTGTGTGTGTTTGTGCCTGTATATACATTGGTGTGTTTGTGTGTCTGTGTTTATGTGTGCATGTATTTGTGTATGTTTGTGTGCTTGCGTGTGTTTGTGTTTATGAGTGTGTGTTTGTGCATGTATATATTGGTGTGTTTGTGTGTCTGGTTGTGTTTGTGTGCACGTATTTGTGTATGTTTGTGTGTTTGCATGTGTTTGTGTATGTTTTTTGTGTGCTTATGTGTTTGTGTATGTGTGTGGTTTGTGTGTGTTTGAGCATGTGTTTGTGCATATATGTGAATGTATCTGTGTGTATGCTTGTGTGTGCGTTTGTGTGTCTGTGTTTCTATGTGCTTATATGTGTTTGTGTTTTGTATCTCTGTGTTTGTGTGTGTTTATGTGTGTTTGTGCATGTATGTGTGTTTGTGTGTGTGTTTGTGTTTGTATGTATTTGTGTGCATGAATTTATGTGAGTTTGTATGTGTTTATATGTGTCTGTGTTTTGTTTGTTTGTTTATGTATTTGTGTGTGTGGCTTGTGTATATGTATGTGTTTGTGCATGTATCTGTGCATGTATGTGTATGTATCTGTGTGTGCTTGTGTGTATCTGTGTTTGTGTGTACTTATGTGTTTGTGTATGTGTTTGTGTGTATGTATGTGTGTTTGTGCGTCTATGTGTAGATTTGCGTATGCATGAGTTTGTGTGTGTGTGTGCGCACATGCACATGTATGTGTTTGTATGTGTTTGTGTGTGTGAAGGGGGGACTAAGACCTAGTGTTTTGCAGTCAAATGCTCTACCCCTGAGCTCTACCCCAGACCTAGCTTTTATTTTTTAGGGGCTCACTCCCAGCAGTGCTCGGGGCTGACTCCTGGCTCTGTGCTCAGGAATCACTCCTGGTAGGACTTGGGGGACCCTGTGGGATGCTGGAGACCAAACCCGGGTCTTCTGCATGCAGACCAGCGCTCCCCCCTACCCCCCGCTGTCCTCCCTCTCTGAAGGACGCATCCTCACATTTGCAGTAATGACGGGGAAGGGTGGCGAGAGGCAGGGCTGTGCTGATGTGTCCCCCTCACTCCCGTCTCATCCATCCTGGCCGGGGACCCCTGTGTCCCCCTCCCCGCCAGCTCTCCGCCCCCTCAGGCTGTACAGGGGCAAACCCCAGGGAGGTGCAGGTAGAGGCGGGGGGGGGGTCACACCTGGGCCACGTCCATGCTGGAGTCACAGCTCAGGGGTCGCACGGCCGTGAGGTCGTTGGAGCCCAGCAGGGTGGAGATGACCCCGTTCTGGTCCACCTTCCGGATCATGGTAGCGTCCACGAAGTACATGAGTCCGTTCTTGTCCACGGCGATGCCTGGGCGAGACAAGGGGATGTTGGGGGGGTTGGACTGTGGTGGGGGTGAGGGGTGGCTTACGAACGTGGGGAGAATCTCTGCAGAATGGGACCACGCTAGAGTCCGGGGACAGGGGGCGGGTCTATCAACCCCAGACTCACGAGCACTGGGTCAGAGCTGCTGGGGGCCTGATTCTCTGCCTCCCCCTCCACCCCTCGGCAGACAGAACCTGGCTACGGCTGCAAAGGGATGGATGGAGGTACATGCCCTGACTTTCTGTAGGACAGACACGGCCCCTCAAGGTCAGGGATGCTAAAAGCATGACTGGGAATGACATGCAGTTCTCACCCCGGGTTCCGGCCACCAACCCCACTTCATGACACCCTCCATAATCGATTCCAAGGGATGGAGCAATAGCACAGCAGGGAGGGTGTTTGCCTTGCATACAGCCGACCCAGGTTCAATCCCCGGCATCCCATAGGGTCCCCTGAGCACTGCCAGGAGTCATTCCTGAGTGTCGAGCCCGGAGGAACCCCTGAGCATCGGCCGGGGGTGGCCCAAATAGCAAAACACAAAACCAAAACAATGTAGAGACCCTTGAAGTGTGTGTGTGTGTGTGTGTGTTGTGTGTGTATGTGTTCATCTTCTCTCCCCTGAACCCCTAAGGTGCAGGGGCTAAGATGCAGGTGGGCACTTCCGTTCTTCTCTGCATCTCACCCAAGTCCCCAACCCCGAGACCCCTGCCAGGACAGCTAGAACGGGGCCCTCCAACCTGTTTGCACCCCTCATGGCCTCGCTCAGAGCCTGCAGCTCCACGGACATCCCACCCAGAGACCCTGGAAACGGGAACCGTTCCCAACTACCACCAAAGGCTGCACACCAGGTTTTTGTTTTTTTCTTTTTGTTTTTGGGTCACACCGGCGATGCACAGGGTTTACTCCTGGCTCATGCACTCAGGAATTACTCCTGGAAGTGCTCAGGGGACCATATGGGATGCTGGGAATCGAACCCAGATTAGCCACGTGCAAGGCAAATGCCCTACCCGCTGTGCTATCACTCCAGCCCCTGCACACCAGGTCTGATTTAGGGGGTGTGGGATGCCCCGGCTGTGCTCACTGCCAACTCCTAGAGGGGGACTCAGGGGACCACAGCGGGTGCCGGGGAACGGATCCGGGTCAGCTGTGCGCAAGGCAAGCGCCTTCCCCACTGTCCTCTCTCTCTGCCCCCTGGACACTCTGATTCCGACTGGAGATGCATTAATGATGAAGAGGTTTGGGCGGGGGGAGGGGGGACAACCTCTGTGTCCTGTTCTTTCCCAAGCTGCTGCACCTTGGGGCTAATCACTTCCTCTGGACCCCTGACAAGGGGCAGCATCAAGCAAGAATGGCCCATGATACTTTTCAGATACTTTTTTTTGTTTGTTTGGTTTTCTTTTGGTGACACCCAGCAATGCTTGGGCGGAGTTGACTCCCGGCTCTGTGCTCAGGGATCACTCCTGGCAGGGCTCAGGGAATGAGGCAGAATGCCGGGGATCGAACCCATTCAAGGCTGCATGCAAGCAGAAGAGATCTCACCTGCTATACTATCACTCCAGAGACACTTTTTTTTTTTTATTTCAGTGTAGGAAGACTGCTATTTATTCAGCCATTGATTAAGCTGATTGAACTGGGCATGAACTCCACTCATTTTCTTTTTTTTTTAAATAAGAGAACCTTGGGCTGGAACTAAAATACAGTGCATAAGGCATTTGCCTTGCACACCCAGCCAACCCGGGTTCGATCTCCGGCATCCCATAGGGTCCCCCCTGAGCACTGCCAGGAGTAATTTCTGAGCACAGACCTGGGAGTTACCCCCGAGCACTGCCAAGGAGTACTTTCTGAGCACAGAGTCAGGAGTCACCCCTGAGCATCGTCGGGTGTAACCCGCCCAAAAGAAAAAAAAATCAAAATAAGAAAACCCAACCCAGAGGAAATGCTTCGGGTGGGCTGGTTGCCAGGAGAGCTGTGGTTGGGGGTGGGCTGGGGTCTCCCCTCCTCACCTCGAGGGCTCATCAGCGTGGCGTCCACGGCCTTGCCGCCGTCCCCGCAGCGGGCCTCGTCGAAGGGCAGGCACTGCTCGCCCGTGCCCGCCACCACCTCCGAGTTGCCCGCCAGGTCCTTGGCGCCGCTCAGGGCCTTGACTCTGAAGATGCGGCGGCTGTTGGTGTCGGACACGAAGAGGGAGCCGGACACGGGGTCCACCGCCAGGTAGTACTTGTGAGCCGGGTTGTTGCTTGAGAGGCAGCGGCAGGACACAGGGAGAGACGGAGACGAGACACAGAGAGAGAAAGAGAGAGAGAGAGAGACGAAGAGAGGTGAGACGGGGCCACAGGCCACCACTGGGCCCCGAGACGGACGACACGACACAAATCTGAGCAAGACACGCGTGTCTCTTGGCGGTGGCTTTATTGAACTGGAAAGTGTCTGCAAACAACTGGCCAGAGGCTACTGGGCATCGGGGGCCATGTGTGTGTGTGTGTGTGTGTGTGTGTGTTTCCTGGCATGGCGTGGCCTCCCTCACCAGGACACGGGACACCTTCTGGCGCTGCTGTGAAGGTCCGGTGCTTTCACAACACCCCCCCCCCCACATCCCCAGCCCCCTTCACTGCCTGCACACGGCCCTCAGTGATCACTGCATCAGTAGTGCTGGGGGGCCAACCCGGATCTTCCCTCTGTCAGTCACGGGCAGCATTGGTCACTGCATCTGTGCTTGTCCTCGGCGGAGCCTGGCACTGTGTGAGGACAAAGGGGGCATCTGCCGGCTCTCAGGCCCCCAGTCGACATTGCCGAGGGGGCGGGGCAGGGTGGGGGAGCTGGGAGGCTGGCTCACCGAGGGCTCTCTGGAGGGGGCTGCTGAGGACACGGGACTGCCGGGGCTTCCAGTCAGAACAGAGCTTGACAATCACGGTGTGTGTGCGCTCACAAGTGTGTGTGTACAAACATATGCATGTACGCGCATGAGTGCATGTGTGTATGTATCTATTTGTGCATGTGCATGTTTGCATTTGTGTGTACACATGTGCACGTGTGTACATGTGTATGTGTGCACACGTATGTGTGCAGGTGTGCATATGCATGCATGTGTGTACACGTGCATGTGCGCGCACGTGTACGTGTGCATGTGTGCGTGTGCATGTACACATGCATGTGTGCACGTTCATGTGTGCATGTGCGTGCGTGCATGTGTGTACACGTGCATATGTGCATGTGTGCATATGCATGCATGCATGTGTGTATGTGTGCACGTTTGCATGTGCATGCATGTACACATGTGTGCACGTGCATACGTGTGTACACGTGTATATGTGCATGTGCATGTATGATCATGCATGTGTGCATGTACACACGTGCATGTGTGCGTGCATGTGTATGCATGTATACATGCCTGTGTGCATATACATGTATGTGTGGGCACATGCATATGTGTACATGTGTGCATGTGTCTGCGTGTATGTGTACACATGTGTATGCATGTGCATGTTTGTATATGTGTGTACATATGTGTATGCATGTGCATGTTTGTATATGTGTGTGCTGTGCGTGCATTTGTGTATGTGTGTGCGTGTCCTGCTGTCTCAGACTCCCCGACTACTTTCTCATGCCAGGCGGATGACCACGGGCCAGGAGGCTCAGAAGCACAAGGCTGCTTTCCCCAGAAGACGGAGATCTCTCCCGTTCCAACAACTGGGCCAACACGGTGCACAGCCAGCTCTGGGGTCAGCAGCTTTGCAGAGCCAAGGGCAGGGGTCTGTGTGTGCCACACTGCACGTGTGTTTAAGCTTGCACCTTGAATGGTACGTGTGTTACTATGTCCCCGTCGGACGTGACTTGCTGTACACGAGTGTTGTACGTGATGTGCATGTGATGTTGTAGATCACTCGTGTGTCCTATGAGATGGGCGCATCACACACTAGCTGTGCAATACACGTGATGTGTATTTTACACCATGAGCTGTTCACGGTGTGTGTGTTGTACATGGCAGGGGGAATGTACGCTACGCATGTGTCATGTTGCACACGAGGCATGTGGAACATGTGTTGGACATGAAGTCCACATGGCAAACTCCGTGCCACAGATGTTTTGTCCCCTGCGTGTCAACTACCCTTTCGTGCCGTGTGTGTGAACGGTATCCAGCTCGAGCACTGACCGGGGAGCTGCTAAATGACATTTAGACAGAAAAAGTACTTGACCCACACCCATCACACGACTCAAAGGCCACTGCATGCCAGGAAAGTACCAAATCCATCAGAATGCTGGCTTCATTCTGACCAGCAGATTGGCAATTAGCTTGGTTTTTTTTTTTCTTTCCCTCCTTCAATGACTGCCTATCCCAGGGAAAAAAATCATTAATGAGTTGAGAATGAGTTTTGGACCCGTTTCCAGTTCATTAAAGCATCAGTGAATCCAGTTCAACATCACCAAAGCCGGAAGTTTGCCTTGACCATCCAGCCCACACAGTGCAGTCGGAATCAAAGTTGGTGGAAGGTTCATGATCTTGTACCCGCATCTCCTGGGAACCCTCATGACCATCAGCTTACTTGGGTGCTTTTTTGCTTTTTGCTTTTTGCTTTTTGGGTCACACCCCACAATGCACAGAAGTTACTCCTGGCTCATGCACTCAGGAATTACTCCTGGCGGTGCTTGGGGGGGACCCTATGGGATGCTGGGGATTGAACCCAGGTCAGTCACATGCAAGGCAAATGCCCTCCCTGCTGGACTATCGCTCCAGCCCCTGGGTGATTTTTTGTTGTTGTTGTTTTTGCTTTATGGGTCACACCTGGCGATGCACAGGGGTTACTCCAGCTCAAGCACTCAGGAATTACTCCTGGCGGTGCTCAGGGGACCCTATGGGATGCTGGGAATCGAACCTGGGCTGGCCACATGCAAGGCAAACGCCCTCCCTGCTGTGCTATCGCTCCAGACCCTTGGGTACTTTTTGACTGCATTTTATAATTGCAAAAGCTTATCATCACCACAACCCACAATGAACACATTAAAAGAAAAAAAAGTTCCTCTCCGGGAGTAAGTATGTCAAGATCTACAGCATGCCACGAGAAGCAACAGGACAGCAAGCAGATGCCAGGCAGCACACGGACCAGAACCACAGTACCCGGGAAAGAGCTCTGTCTTACCTATGTTTAAACTCTTTATTTCTTTAGAGAGAGAAAACAGAGGGAGAAAGAACAAACAGTTAGTGGGAGAATTGGTGACGAGGCAAACAGAACATTTTTTGGCGACTTGGGTCAAGACCCCTTCACCACCCATCCACCCACCCCTCCCCGCCACAAAGTCTGACTGTGTTGCTTTTCTAGCTCAGAACCTCCCTGACTTGGGGGGTGTAAGGGAGGAAGAGCCAGGACCCTCGAACTAGCAAGGTGGGGCTGTTGATGAGACGACAGATGAAAGGGGCTGGTGGCCTTTCCTTAAAGGGGGCAAATTTGGACTTGCTGAGCACCACCCCTCTGGGCCCTGATGGGGAACTGTCCGGAAGCCCCCAAAGCCATATTCAAGCTTTGAGGGGTTCAGGGCCATGACCTGCTTGCGTGTCTGTGCTGGCATGACCTGTATCTTCTCTCCATCAGTGCTGATCTCATGTGAGACAGAGCCCTGCCCACACCCTTCCTGCCCCCGTGCCCTTCTGTCCTCCCCGACTTCATGCCCAAGCCTGCAAGCCCACCCGGACCCGGGGCCCTGGAGAACAAGATCCTTCATCTTCAAGGGTTCAGTGAATGACAAAGCAACGTCTTTCTTTCTTTCTTTCTTTCTTTCTTTCTTTCTTTCTTTCTTTCTTTCTTTTTTTCTTTCTTTCTACTGAGGCAAAGCTATGTTTTCCTTTTTCCCCATTTTTTTTCTTTTTGGATCACACCTGGCGATGCTCAGGGGTTCCTCCTGGCTCTGCACTCAGGAATCACTCCTGGTGGTGCTTGGGGGACCCTATGGGATGCCGGGAATTGAACCCGGGTTGGCCACATGCAAGGCAAACATCCTACCTGCTGTACTATCTATCGCTCTGGCCCTTGTTTCTATTTTTTTTTTTATTTTGGATTAAGAAAAAAAGAGTAGTGCTCAGGGATGACTCTCGCCAGGGCTCAAGGGACCCTAAGGGATGCTGGGGATTGAACCAGGCTCGGCCTCCTGCAAGGTAAATGCTCCCTCCACTGCCCTATCTCTGGCTCTGGCTCCGGCTCCAGCTCCAGCTCTATTTATTTATTTATTTAGCATCACACCCGGCGATGCTCAGGGATTCCTCCTGGCCCTGCACTCAGAAGTCACTCCCGGCGGCGCTCAGGGGACCCTATGGGATGCTGGGAATCGAACCCGGGTCGGCTGCGTGAAAGGCAAACGCCCTCCCCGCTGTGCTATCACTCCAGCCCCCTATTTTTTTTTTAAAGAATAAAAATGTGTTCTTCCCTTACCAACAAGAAAGGTCTGAAAGCCATTTATGTGCAGGGGAAGAGGAGCGAGACAAGGGCCTCGAGGAGAGAACAGGCATCCTCCCCTCTGCCCCCTCCCCAATTCCCAGACTTTCAGGTCAGAGTGGGGGGAGTGGGGGGACGCTTTGGAATGAGGCTAGGAAGATGGAAGGCGGTCACACTTCTTCGGGCAAGGTGCACACCTCTCCCGGGGGCCATCATTCGAGATGAGTTTGCACAGGGATCACTTTTTTTTTTTGGTTATATTTTATTCTGATGTGTTAGTTATTTTTTGCAAAAAAAAAAAAAGTTAATTAAATGATGCTGATAACTCCGGAGCTCTGAGTGACATCGTGCAATTTAAGATTCATTCTGCAGAGCTTGGCGTGGCACGGTGGCTGTCGGGAATTCTCGCGTCTAGTTTATATTGCTTAATGAAAGTGAAATGTTATCTGCCACCAGTGGTAGTCATATTTGGCTCTTAATTATTGCAATATCAATTCCACTTTTTTTCCTTTTTCTTTTTTTGGGGGGGAGATGTGTGTGTGTGTGTGTGTGAAGATTTTGTGAAAAGACTGGGTAAGACATCTTATCTAGAGGCCTGATCTACTTCCTCATCCGGGCACCTGATTTTCCTAGATTTATCTGTCATCTGCGGGGGGGATGGAGGGGAAGAGAGGAGGGGGTCAAAGAAGGCGGGTGTGTGTGTGTGAGAGGGTGACTTATCAGGGCCCATGGAGACCCCCGTGATCATAGGAAGTCGGGGAGGGGTGTTGAGGAGGGGTCTGGGGAGGGGGTTGAGGTCACAACTAGGCTAACCCAGGACCATTGCCACCACAGCTGCATCAAAGAGACACTTTCCCTAAGATAGCCACAGGTGACCCACGCACCCACACGTTCTGTGGACGGGGCCTAGAGAACACAAAACCTGCAGTGCAGGCTGAGCCTACCTCTGTGGGACTCTATACGGCCCTTAACTTCCGTCTGAGCATCCCATTGGCCCTCTGAGAGCCAGCTGCAGATTCTGCTCAGGGAAGGCTGGGGACAGATGTGACTCACCCACAGGCTTGGCCCACGCAGTTCCAGTGTGGATTCGGAACCCACAAACAATTTCAGGAGGTCTCCGCCCTGCCCATCAAACTTCCCTGAAGTTGGCTGCCGAGAGAGCCAACCAAGGTTTATCTCCTAATCCCAAGAGCAAACTGGGTGGTGAGTCTCCACCCGCAGAGCTTTTAGGTGATGGCAAACACAAAAAGGTGTGAGGTCTCCCCCAAGATACCCACAGCTGCTGGACATGAGGGTTCTGGGACATCTCCCCCAATCTTGGTTTGTTTGGGGAGCCACCCAGGGGGTCGCTCAGGACTGACTCCTGGCTCTGTGCTCAGAGATCACTACTGGGGGGGGGGGTCTAACAGGAAGCCAGGATCTGGAGCCGGATTGGACACCACGCAAGGCAAACACACCCTACCCGCAGTCCTGTCTCTCTGACTGCAAATGATTATTAATTTAACATTTAATTAACTCAAACAAATCCTTGCGCGGATGAGAGAAGGCTTCCCGAAGCCTTAGTAAGCGGAGACCCAACCCAACGGGGGAAAGACAGAATGTTTATTCCTCAGTGCTTCTCCTCTAAAGGACAAAGAGGACACAACTCAGATGCCCAGATCAACTGATCTCCTAGAGCTTAACAAATTCAAAAGACTGTGATGTTGGCGTTAAAAGTCAGTGCTCCAAAATTTGCAACTCGGGGTGGAGCGATAGTCCAGCAGGGAGGGGGCTCGCCTTGCACGCAGCAGCTGACCTGAGTTTAATCCCCAGCATCCCCTAGGGTCCCCCTAGCAACTGCCAGGAGTGATCCCTGAGCGCAGAGCCAGGAGTCAGCCCTGAGCATCACTGGGTGTGGCCCCCAAACAAACCAAAAAGGAAATGGTTGGTTTGTTTTCTTTTTCTTTCTTTCTTTCTTTCTTTCTTTCTTTCTTTCTTTCTTTCTTTTTCTTTTTTCTTTTTTTTTTTCTTTTTGAAATGGTTTGTTTTCAAGCAAAGGGCCAAGTTCTCATCAAGTCGCAGGGGTGCAAAGGCCTGTATGCTCTACAAAAATTCCCCTGCCAGGGCTGGGACGATTGCACAGTGGGAAGGGCGTTTGCCTGGCATGCGGCTGGTTTGATTCCCAGCATCCCATAGGTACCGCCAGAGGTAATTCCTGAGTACAGAGCCAGGAGGAACCCCTGAGCATCATCAGGTATAGCCCAAAAAGCAAAAAAAAGAGAAAAATTCCCCTGCCAGGATCCCAAAGACTTATGCAGCCTGGTGGCATCTTCAACAGAGTCCTAACCTCAGGCCTTGTCCTTGGACCCATGGCCATGATCAGCAATATGCAACTTCCAGCCTCGATTAATACTGAGATTCAAGAGCGACCTGCAATTTCTTCTTCCTCCATCAGAGGGCAGCGAGGTCCGTATGGGAAGGCACCTCCATCCACTCAAATATTAGGGTTCAAATCCTAAGCATTACTTGTCCCCCCGCCCCCAATCCTCCACCCCCTCAATCCTTCCTACTCTCTGACCCTGGACCCACGAACAAGTCTTAGATTTGCCTCCGTGCCAGGAATCTCAAGAACCAAATGGTGGAAAGGTCTAGAGCAAGAGGAAAAAAGAGAGGTAAGAGAGCCAGAGGGGATTGCCAAGACGCGTCTTCAAAGGTGGTCAAGAGGGTCTTTCAAGACCAGAAGGTGCCTGTTCATTTCTGGGGATGCTGGGGATGGCCACACACACACACACACACACACACACACACACACACACACATACACGCTGTGCTCACAGATGGCCTGCAAGCATTTTGCGAGAATCGTGACGAAGCCGGAAGTAGCTGTGGTGGCTGGAGGATCACCCATGAAGGGAGGACAGGAGGTGGCAGGTGAGACGCACAGGAACACCGTCTCCTCCATCCCCACGCCTGTGCCCCCCTGCTCTGAGTGACGCACAGTCACCAGCTGCTTCCTGGGAGGCTTTTGCATCGCAGACAGACCAGCCTTTGGTTCATGACCTCCCACGTCTAACCTCTGCCAATTAGCTCCCGCAAAGCCTGGGTCCTGTCCTAGTGCCCATTGGAGCTGCGGTCACTCAGCCCGGCCCCCCTGGGCAGGCGCTCTTAGACGCTGCCTCTCACCCCTCCTTGTATTCTCAGACTCCACCCGACGGTCCTGTCTGGCTGGGCTAGGAGGCTGGGCATCTACCTGTTCTGTTTCTCACCCTGCCCCTCCCCCCAGTACCCTTCAACTGCCCCCACTCCCCCAAGGTCACTCAGATGCTGATCAGGTCACCAATATGTGCTCCAAGTGCTCAGTGCTCAGTGCGACCTGCTACTCTTTCTGGCTCATTCAGCCGACCAGGAGGGAACACATCCTCTTCCCGTAGACACGTTTCCTTTCTCCCCTACTTGTGGTTCCCCCTGCTGGTTTGAGAGACCGGGAAGGATCTTTTTCCCAGAAGAGGGTTTTCAAGAACTTTAGCCCAGCACTGAGTGGGAGGAGAGTCTGGGGCTTGAGATTAAGGGAGGCCAGGGGTGACCCTGGGTGCCCTGGCTGGGTTCCTGCAGGGATTCCGAATCAGAACCCAGGGAAAGGGCTGAGACCCAGACTTGTCCCGGAGATCTGGCACACACAGAGCCCAAGGCACTTGAACAGCTACCAGAATCTTCTACAGAGCTCACCCAAAGGGCATGGAAGGCCTTGGCCCTTCTCCTGGCTACACCAGGGGTGGCATGGGAAACCCAGGTTGGGGACAAAGGGACGATGAGAAACCGCTGCGTCGGACCAACAAGCTTCAAGGGCGGATCTTTAGCTTTTTGGTTAGAATCACCCAGAGAGGCTTGGAAACTGCAGGGACCCTGGCCATCCCTGCCTCCCACGCCCCCCCCCCCCCATGTCCTCTGGCCAATGACGGATTGAAAACCTCGATCACAGAGAGGGCGGCTGTTTTATAGGTGCATGAAGCATCCCCCCACTTCCTTAATGGATACCAGGCTTGGGGGTTAGTCCTTGCCCATCACTTGTTTATTCTCTAGACTTGCGTTTCTCAGCCTGGGGCCACATGGCTCTCCTGTCTGCCCCCTGCAGAACCCCAGGGGGGCACGGGGCAAAAAAAATCGCGGGGGTGTGGGGCAGGGCATGAGAACTGCAAGGTCAACTGTTGCGTGTGTGGGCGTGCGTGCGTGTCTGTGCGTGCGTGTATGCATGCGTGCGTGTGTTGTGTGTGTGCGTGCACGTGTGTGCATGTGCGAGTGCATGTGTGTGCGTTCATGCGTGTGCGTATGTGTGCGTGCGTGTGTCTATGCGTGCATGCACACGTGTGCTGTGTGTGTGCACGTGTGTGCATGTGCGAGTGCATGTGTGTGCAGGTGTGTGCATGCATGCGTGTGCGTATGTGTGTGTGCGTGTGTCTGTGCGTGCATGTGTGAGTGCATGTGTGTGCATGCACACATGTGTGTATGTGTGCGTGCACATGTGTGCATGTGTGAGTGCGTGTGTGCATGCGTGTGTCTGTGCGTGCATGCGTGCGTGTGTGTGTGCGTGCACGTGTGTGCATGTGCGAGTGCATGTGTGTGCATGCATGCATGTGCATATGTGTGTGTGCGTGTCTGCATGCATGCGTGTGTGTATGTGTGCATGCACATGTGTGCATGTGCGAGTGCATGTGTGTGCATGCGTGTGCATGCACGCGTGTGTGTATGTGTGCGTGCATGTGTCTGTGCGTGCATGCATGTGCGTATGTGTGCATGCACGTGTGTGCATGTGCGAGTGCATGTGTGTGCATGCATGTGTGTGGTATGTGCGCGTACGTGTGCCTGTGCGTGCATGCATGCGTACATGTGTTGTGTGTGTGCGTGCACGTGTGTGCATGTGCGAGTGCATGTGCGTATGTGTGCGTGCGTGTCTATGCGTGCGTGTGTGCACGTGTGTGCATGTGTGAGTGCATGTATGTGCATGTGCATGCATGCGTGTGCGTGTGTGTGCGTGAATGCGCACGGGGGAGCCACAGGGAAGAAAACAAGGTCAAAAGTGGGAGACAAGTCGAGAAACGGCGACCCCCCCACGCTCCACACGCCCCCATCTACCCAGACTTGCGTGTGGCCGAAGCGGGGGCGGCAACTCAGCTTCCTGTGCCGCCACTTACCGTAACTCCAGGATGCTCGTCACGTTGCGGGAGGGGAAGATGCGCCGGATGTAGTTGAAGTCCCCCACGAAGAGGCTCCCGTCCACCCCCACGGCCAGCGCCACGGGGGCCAGCAGCTTGTTGCCCTCGGCCAGCCCGTTGCAGCTGGGGCAGGAGATGCTGCGCCGGCGGCCGTTGCCCATGATGCTGGTGATGATGGCCGGCTGCTGCGTCAGGAACTGGTTCTCCCCCGTGCCTTTGTGCAGGATGCCTGGGGGCGGGGGGAGAAGGGGCTCAGTGGGAAGATTCAGCCTCGAAGTGGGGGTGGGGAGACCCGTCTCCCCCTAAGCCCTGCAATCTTTCTTTCTAGAAAGAAAGAATCCTTCCTTCCTTCCTTCCTTCCTTCCTTCCTTCCTTCCTTCCTTCCTTCCTTCCTTCCTTCCTTCCTTTCTCTCTCTCTCTCTCTCTCTCTCTTTCCTTTCCTTTTCTTTCTTTCCTTTTCTTTTCTTTCTTTCTTACTTTTTGGGTCACACCTGGTGATGCTCAGGGATTACTCCTGGCGGTGCTGAGGGACCCTATGGGATGCTGGGAATCGAACCCGGATTGGCCACGTGCAAGGCAAATGCCCTACTCGCTGTGCTATCGCTCTAGCCCCTTCTTTTTAAAAGATTTTTTAAATGAATCACTGTGAGGGGCTGGAGCAATAGCATGGTGGGTAGGGCATTTGCCTTGCATGCGGTCGACCCGGGTTCGATTTCCAGCATCCCATAGGGTCCCCTGAGCACTGCCAGGGGTGATTCCTGAGTGCATGAGCCAGGAGTAATCCCTGTGCATCACCAGGTGTGACCCAAAAGGAAAAAAAAAATGAATCACTGTGAGATAGTTACAGACTTACAAACTTTCATGATTATGTTTCAGTCACACAATGGTCAAATACCCATCCTTCCACCCATTCTCCACCATCAATATTCACAGCATTCCTCCCGCCACCCCCCCTTCCTACCCCCCCTGCCTCCATGGCAGGCACATTCCCTCTTCCTCTCTCCTTTTGGGTGTTATGGTTCGCAATACAGGTACTAAATAAGCCCCGCAATGTCACTGCCTTCTGAAATCGCTGTGGTGAGTTGGGTGAGCCCCAAGGCCAGAGCATGGGGCGAGATCACCATCGAGAGAGGATGAAGGCAGAATTGTGACTTGGGGACTGCAGAGACACATCAGCAGAACTGGGGCTCAGGACATTGGTGGGGGAAAATGTGCACTGGTGGAGGGATGGGTGTTTGATCATTGTATGACTGAACGTCAATCATGCAAGCTTTGTAACTGCATCTCTCGGTGATTCAATAAAAAGAAAGAAAGAAAGAAAGAAAGAAAGAAAGAAAGAAAGAAAGAACGAACGAACTTGGGGCAGTCCTGAGCATTTCTGGCATCTGATGAAAAGTGGCTGGGGCATAGAGGGCCTGTTGTAAAACAGGGTTAGGTGGGAGAGAAGGTTCTAGAGGGGAGGTGGGTACACCTGGTGGGAAGGGGCTGAGCTTCCATACTAAGGGTGTGTGTTACACTCAGCAGTGCTCAGGATCACGTTTGCCTCTGCACCTAGGGACCACTCCTGGCGGGCTTGGGGGAGCCTACGGGATGTCGGGGATGGAGCCCTGGTCGGTCCTGTGCCAGGCCAACCCCCCCCCCCATGGCTCCACCCTCCCTGCCCGGCCCCGCCCACGTACCACTTTTGACATTGAGGATGTGATGCTTGTCCAGAGACCAGCCGCCCAGGTTGGAAGGGTCCAGCTCGAAGCCTTGCAGGAGGGCAGTCCTTTTCTCCCAGAGGATCAGGCTGGGACATGTCTCATACTCGAAGCCCACGGACACTGCGGGAGACAGAGAGGTCCCGGGATTGCTCCTGGGTTTCCCAGAAAGAACGAGACACGCATATGTGTGCGGCGCTGGCTGAGCTGGGGCGGGCTGCCTTCCCCGCTTCCTCCCTCACTCTGCAAAACGCCCAGACAACTCAAGCCAAAGTCAGCTTTGGGAACTTGGCATAGTATCTTGGGTGCACCAGAAAATTCTAGACAGCTTCCTTCGGGGGCTGGTGAGTGGGCTGTGTGTGTGTGTGTGTGTGTGTGTGTGTGTGTGTGTGTGTGTGTTGTGTTGTGTGTGTTGGGGGTGTATGAAGACCTTTCTAGATCTTTCTAGGGAATAGCGGGGCTGTCAGAAGTGTGTGTGTGTGTGTGTGTGTGTGTCTGTGTGTGTCTGTGTATGTGTGTTGGGGGTGTGTGAAGACCTTCCTAGATTTCTCTAGGGAATAGCGGGGCTGTCGGAATCAACCTGGATGATGCAGGTGAGTTCTGAGGTTCAGGCGGGCACACTCAGGGATCACTCTAAGCTGTTTATTGTCACTCACAAGGAGAATGGGACCTGGAATCTTTTTGGCCCCTTGAGGAGGCTAGTGCGGGCTCTGGATCTTTGTAACTTCGCCTGGGATGCCCAAGAGACAGGGGGTGGGACGCAGCCTGCCAATCAACTGGGGGGCACAATCCAAAAACTATTTGCAAAACTCTAGCTTGTGTCCAGGGACCAGTGGATATGAGAGGGTTTGGAGGGCAGCAGGTGAAGACTTTAGTTCTCGCTCTGTGGTAGCTCCCACTTCCTCGGGGTGCCTTTGTTCCCCGGGGGGTGAAAAGGGACTGGCTGGGGGAAGTTGTCTCAGAAATATGGGGTGACCAAAGGCCAGGTGTCATGCATGTTTAATTGGAAAGCGGCTATAGAGATATGAGGTCTTGTATTATTTCTCTTTGGACCAAATTTCATCCTTATTGTTGCGTGTTTAGTTCTGGGGGAATCTCCGAAGCTTTGTTTATTGTTTGGCAATCCTGAGAGAGAGGGAAGATGTGCTTTATCTTACACCGAATCCCATCAAATCAAGCACCACCCTATTTCAGAGCTCAGACTCCTCAGGAATAAGCTCTGAGCATTCCTGAAGCCAACCAAACCAAATAGAAACCAAACCAAAAGCAAAAAAAAAAAAAAATCCCAAAAAACAAAAAACAAAACAAAAACAACAACAACAAAACAAAAACAAACAAAAAAACCCCCTCCAAAATACAACCCAAGCAAACCTCAATTAGAGATTAGTTTATATTATTTACCCATAGGGGCTGGATTGACAATAAGCAGATAGTGTGTTTGCCTTACATGTGGATGACTTGGGTTCAATTCCTGGCATCCCATATGGTTCCCTGAGCACTGACAGGAGTGATCCCTGAGCACAGAGCCAGGAATCAGCCCTGAGCACCCCTGGGTGTGACCCACATCACCATCCCCCCACCCCAAAAATAAAAAAGATGACCATCTCCAGTAGGGCCAATGAAACAAAGAATAATGACAACTTTAAACTATCAGGGGAAGGTTAGATAGCTTACCTATTGGACCAGTAAGTAACTTCAGGTAACTAGTTGGGATCTAATTGGTGAATAAAAGACAAAAAGAAAACTAGGGGAAGAATCAAACATTTATCTTTTTCTTTCTTATTTAAAGTTGTAGGCCACCTTGTGTGGTCCTCAGGGCTCACTCCTGGCTTTGTGCTCAGGGCTCACTCCTGCCTTGCTCAGGGGGACCATATGGGATGCCGGGAATTGAACCCCAGGTCAGCCAGCTGCATTGTAAGCACTTTCCCTGCTGTACTATTATCTCTCTGGAACTGTATCACTTTATCACTGTCATTCCTTTGTTCATCAATTTGCTCAAGTAGGCACCAGTAACATCTCCATTCGTCCCAGTCCTGAGATTTTAGTAGCCTCTCCAAACTCGTCTTTCCCAATGGTGCCGTACTGGAGGCTCCTTCAGGGTCAGGGGAATTAGACCCGTATTTGTTACTGTATTTGGCATATCGAATACACCACAGACATGCTTCCTTTTTCTATCTCCTTTGAACTGTATGTGAACAAGCAATCCTTGTAAGGAGGGACTTCGGCCAGCCCTGTGACTTGGCAGTAGACTGCACGCCCCATTACCGTCAACAACAAATAAACAAAAGGGGAAACATTTCTTTTTTTTTTTTTTTTTTTTTGGTTTTGGGACCAGAGAGATAGTACAGTGGGTAGGGCGTTGGCTTTGCACATGGTTGACTGGGTTTGACCCCTGGCATCCCATAGGGTCCCCCGAGCACTGCCAGGGGTAATTCCTGAGTGCAGAGCCAGGAGGAACCTCTGAGCATCACCAGGTATGACCCAAAAAGTTAAAATTTTTTTTTTATTTGGGGGCCACAGTCTGTGGTGCTGAGGGTTAACTTCTGGTTCTGTGCTCAGGAATCACACCCAATCACATCCACATGTGCTTGGGGAACCCTTAGTGGTGTGAGGGGTCAAAGTGCAGGGTACTTTGCCTCCTGTACAATCTCTCCAACCCCAAATGGGGGAGCATTTCCTATGCCAAGGATCTGGTCAGTGAGGCAAAGTCAAGCCACATGGTTGGGGGATCCCAACGGCCACCATCACCCAGCTCTGCCCATGCTCTTGCAGCTCACTGGGGCTTCCTAGCTCCATGCCCTGGAAGGATGGAAGGTCATCATAAAAAGGTTTATGTCGCTGTCTCGGGGACCCCTCCTCCCCGTGACTGGACAGTGCCCAACACAGGGGACAGGCACTGCTGAAACCAGCCCTCCACGGTAGGGAAGAGTCTCACCCACGGCGTCCGAGAGCCCGTAGACGCGCTGGCCGTAGGCATCCGTCTTGTCCCAGATGAAGGTGTAGGCCAGGTTGGGGGAGGCCTGGAATGACTTCTGGAAGAGGTGACCCTCCACGGCCACCATCAGGTGGACCTTGATGAGGTTCAGGGGCACAGCTGACTGTGTCATGGTGATCTTCAGTAGCGACTTGTAGCCGGCTGTCCGCGAGCTCAGGTAACGGAGTTTCACCGTGGACCCGGGCAGCTCGATTTCTTCATGCAGGACCTTGGGGGGGGGGTGTGGAAGCTCATGGTTGGGCCAGCAGTGGAGCACCCCCAGCCCAACCCCCATCCCAGAGTGGTCGCCACTCGCTCCAGCGTGTGCAAGGGCCGTGGGGCTGGACTCCGAGGAATAGATAGGGGAAAAAAAAAATAATTCAACTTCAAGCTAACCTCCTAGGAGGAAGGGGCCCAGTGGCTTATTTTTGGATTAATTACTTTTTTTTTTTTGAGCCGGTGATACTCAGGGGTTACTCCTGGCTCATGCACTCATGCCCTCCTGGCAGTGTTTGGGGTACCATAGAGGATGCTGGGAATCGAACCTGGGTCGGCCACATGCAAGGCAAACGCCCTCCCCACTGTGCTATCACTCCAGCCCCAGGATGAATTAATTTTGGATTATTTTTATTATTATTATAATTATTATTATTTTTGGATGACTTGTCCATGTTGAGTCTCTTTCCCCAAGCCATCCTGTGTGGGTAGAAGATGCAAATAATGACTGTGAGTTCCGTGGCGAGCTAGGCATGAGGGGCCACGACAGGGGGTGCTTATCACAACTCCCAGCTTCCACCTATGATGGTGGCGGGTCTAAAGCTATACTGGTGGACGGTGACAGGGGTCAGTAATCTGAAATGCCCTTCGTGGAAACATAGCCCTGTGTGTCATTCCACACGGGCGCCTGTGATCGTGGGTGGTCGCCACGGAGAGCGACAGGACATAACCTATATGTGAGCCCCATGGATGTAGGCTAATTATTTATTTTCATTTTAATATATTTTTTGCTTTTTGGGTTACACTCGGTGATGCACAGGGGTTACTCCTGGCTCACGCACTTAGGAATCACTCCTGCCGGTGCTCAGGGGACCCTATGGGATGCTGGGAATCGAACCCGGGTCTGCCGCGTGCAAGGCAAATGCCCTACCCGCTGTGCTATTGCTCCAGATTGCTGATTTATTTTATTTCATTCATTCTTTGTGAGGGAGGGTGACATTTGGGCCACCCCCCACTGTGCTCAGGGTTTACTTCCTGACTTTGCACTCGGGGATCTGCACACAGGACTTGGGGTCCCGATGGAGTTCTGGGGGTCCAACTCTGGTCAGTCCCATGCATGGCAAGCACCTCAACCCTCTGACCTCTCTCTCCAGCCCCTGTTGTAGTTTTATTAAGAGCTCTTGGCTGCTCTGCCCAAGGCTTGAGTGATTGTCTGCAAACTTGTGGGAGTTCTTGGAAGGATTGCAAATTTTGTCTCAATGCGATAACCCCTCAGTATCTGCACTGCAAACCATGATGGCCCAAAGTAGAGAGAGAGTATGGGGGAAATTGTCTGCCATGGAGGAGAGGCGGGAGGGGTTGGAAAGGGGAGCTATACCGGGAACTTTGGTAGTGGTGAATGTGCACTGGTGGAGGGATGGGTGTTCGATCATGTATGACTGAAACTCAAACATGAAAGCTTTGTAACTGTATCTCACGGTGATTCAATTAAAAAAGAAAAGAGAAAAAAAAGAAAATTTTGTCTCCAGGGGTGACTGATGACCTCTGCCCTGGGGGGGGGGGGGGCTTTTTTAACTGAATCACTGTGAGATACACAGTTACTAAGCTGATCACAATCGGGTTTCAGTCATTACAGTGTTCCAACTCCTGTCCCTCCACCAATGTCCATTTCCCACCACCAATGTTCCCAGTTTCCCTCCCACCACCCTCCCCTCAGCCTCTCTGTCTCTCCGTCTCTCCCCCCTTTGGTCTGCCCCCTCTTTTTTTTTGAATGCTGTGAGATACAGTTACAAGCTTTCATGTTTGAGTTTCAGCATACAATGATCAAACACCCATCCCTCCACCAGTGCACATTCTCCACCACCAATGTCCCCAGTATTCCCCCCCTCCAACTATCCACTTTTCCCCTGCCTCTAAGGCTGACAATTTCCCCCATGCTCTCTCTCTACTTTTGGGCATCATGGTTTGCAATGCAGATACTGAGAACCCATCGCGTCTGGTCCTTTATCTACTTTCAGTACGCATCTCCCATCCCAAACGATCCTGCCAACCATCACTGGCTTAGTGATCCCTTCTCCATCCCAGCTGCCTTCTCCCCCAGCTCATGAGGCAGGCTTCCAATTCCTGGCCCTTATGTCTCTGCTCCCACTTTTTTTTTTCCTTTTGGTTCATGACTGGCAATGCACAGGGGATACTCCTGGCTTTGCACTCAGGAATTCCTCTTGGTGGTGCTCAAGGGACCCTATGGGATGCTGGGGATCGAACCTCAGTGGACTGCGTGCAAGACAAACGCCCTACCCGCTATCCTATCAGTCCAGACCCCTCTGGCCCCGTCTCTGAATATCATGTTTTGGCACCTTCTTTGCAGGCGGGGCGAGGAGGTAGGTGGGTGGGGCGCGCGGTCCCCGCCCTCCCTACCTGGGTCTCGGGGACGATGGGGTTGTGCGCAGGCGCGTCGCTGAAGAAGGTGGACAGCGGGGACGCGATGATGATGGGGTCGGGCCGCACGAAGCCGCTGAGGTCGCAGCTGGGGATGGAGTTCTCCTCCGTCTTCAGCACCAGCGTGTCCATGGCGTAGAAGCTGTTCCAGGGCAGCCACACGGTGCGCTCCTGGCTCAGGAACGGCGCGCGCTCGAAGTGCAGGGTCAGCGCCGCGCCCCCGTTGGCGATGAGGTCGAACCTGCAGGGGCAGGGGGCGAGCGATAGGACCGCGGGGCGGGCGCTGGGCTCGCGCACGTGGCGGACCCGGGTTCCATCCCTGGTACTCCGTAGAGTCCCTCGCTAGGAGTGATTCCTGAGCGCAGAGCCAGGAGGAACCCCTGAGCATAGCCGGGTGGGACCCCAGCCTTCCCCCCAAAAAAGGCCAAAAGAAAAAGAACCTCCAAGGGACGGCAGCAGAGGAGGTCGGTGGGTGACGGAGCAGATGGGAAGGGTGGGCTTAGGGCAGAAGGTAGCCCGCCTCCAGCCCTCCGTCTCTCCGGCAGTGTGGCTGTGGGCTAGGTGCTCGCCCTCTCTGGGCCCCACTTTCTTCCCCTTGTGACAGGACTCAGGTGAGCTATGCTGCTGAGTGAGAGGCGGGGGCGTGGGTGGGGGGGTGGCTGATTAAGTAACCAAGACCAGCACTACCTCTTTTGGGCCACGCCCGGCAATGCTCTGGGGTCACTCAGGGATCATTCATTCCAAGCGGTGCTTGGGGGGACCCTATGGGATGCTGGGGATTGAACCTGGGTCAGCCTTGTTGCCCCCCGCCCCCTCGCTTCTATTGACTGAAAATCGGAGCTTGTTGGGCTGGAGTGATAGCACAGCGGGTGGGGCGTTTGCCTTGCATGCGGCTGACCCGGGTTCGATTCCCAGCATCCCATAGGGTCCCCTGAGCACCGCCAGGGGTAATTCCTGGGCAGAGCCAGGAGTAACCCCTGAGTACTGCTGGGGTGACCCAAAAAGCAAAAAATAAATAAATAAAAAAAATAATCGGGGCTTGTTTCCCAAACTTGCTTGATCTTCTTTGTAGAATCCATCCCCAGCACACACACACACACACACACACACACACACACACACACTCCATATACACATGCAAATATACCACATACATACCACACATCATATACTAACACACAGACCACATACCTAGACATACTACATACATATAGACCACACATATACACACTACACACATTATACACATACACACTATGCACAAATGCAGCACACATACACAATACATACATGTACACACCACACAGAGACACACCACACACACCAGTATTCAAGCATACATACTACACACATACACAAACCACACAAATACACTGCATACAGACATGCCACACACACACAAATACCACATAGCTCCACGCGCTATACACGTATACATACTGTACAGATAGATCACACATACCATATTCATATACTACACACATATACACACTGTGTACACAGATCACACACACGCCATGCATACTACACATGTATATACTACACGCATATATACATACCACACACATATACACACCACATATTTCACACCACATACTACACACATACATATACATATTGTTTACATAGATCACACATACACACATACTACACACATATACATAGTGCAGATACAGATCACACATATATACCATATACACATCACTGTCACTGTCCTCCCATTGTTCATCGATTTGCTTGAGCGGGCCCAGTAACATTGTGACACTTGTTACTGTGTTTGGCAAATCGAATACGTCACGGGTCGCTTGCCAGGCTTTACTGTGAAGGTGAGATACTCTCGGTAGCTTGCCGGGCTCTCCCAGAAGGGCGGAGAAATTGAACTCAGGTTGGCCAGGTTGGCTGCATGCAAGGCAAACGTCCTACCGCTGTGCTATCGCTCCAGCCCGACACACATCTACGTAGTGCATTTACAGATCACACATATATACCACAGACTACACATCTACATAGTGCAAATAAAGTTCACACAGATATAACATACACACATACTACAGGTATATACACAGCACACACACATATGCACCATTCACAAATACACAGCACACACATATACACAGCACAGGTATAGGCACACAGAACATGTGCACGCGCATACACAAACACATACATACACATACACACACACATGGAAAAGCATTCAAGTACTTCCGAGCGTGAGGATGAAGGAGACCTTCGAGGCTCTCCATTGTTCATTTCTGCCCCCCGCCCAGAGCAGGACCCCTCTCTGAACATCTGTGGGTGTGGAGGGGCCCTCCCAGCTCCCTGGCACCCAGCCCCCTGGCACCCAGCCCCCCACCCTGCGGTGCCACTTACGTGCCATCCTGCCGGGTGATGGTGTAGCCGTACTTGGGGTACTTGACGAAGGACACGTTCACGCCCACCAGGGGGGTCCCGTCCGACGTCACCACTTGGCCCCGGATGAGAGAAACCAAGCTGGAGAGACAAAATGCGGGGGTCACACACAGAGCCCTCGGCCAGGGAAGGGTCGGGGGGGTGTGGTCAGGGAGGAACGTGGGGACGGGGCAACGACCCCAGCATGGTCTGACGTTGGCCGGGTTTCTCTCTGCCTCAGGGGAGATGGATGAGCTGGGAGTGTTGTCTCCGCTCCCTGCCAACAGCTGGAGGGGGACCCCCCAGACACAGGGAAGTCTGGTGAGAGCTGGAGGGTGCCCAGACACCTCCATTCCTGGCCATCTGTCCGAATATTCCCAGATTAGGGGGTCTAGGCGATTGTTTCTTTGCCAGAATCTCCTCAGAGACTGCCCCATCTCGGGGTGGCACTTACTTCTAATCAGGGACAAAACTATGCCCTGTCCACCCACCCTGCCCTACCCGAAGGGGCACTTTCTTCAGACATCTCCCTTTTTACCCACAGCCCTCCCCCATGATTCCCTCCAATGCCCTCTGTATCCCCCTACCCCCCCCCCCCCCCATGCTCTTGTCTCCAGAGGCTGCACACCGCTGTCCCTCTGACAGCTTTTACTGCTCCTGGCTGCTGAGCAAATGAACCCCATTTTTTTTCCGGTTTTTGGGTCATACCTGGCGATGCACAGGGGCCACTCCTGACTCAGGCACTCAGGAATTACCCCTGGCAATGCTTGGGGGGGCGATATGGGATGCTGGGAATCGAACCCGGGTCGGCCGTGTGCAAGGCAAATGCCCTGCCCACTGTGCTATCGGTTCAACACCCAGACCCCATTTTTTTTGCTGGTTTCCTACCCCAACACCCCCCAACACCAGAGTCCTTTTTTTTTTCTTTTTGGGTCACACCCAGCGATGCACAGGGGTTACTCCTGGCTCTGCACTCAGGAATCACTCCTGGCGGTGCTCAGGGGACCCTATGGGATGCTGGGGATTGAACCCGGGTAGGCCAGGCAAACGCCCTCTCCACTGTGCTATTGCTCAGGCCTGCCAGAGTCTTTTGAACGCAGGGAAACTCATCTATGGAATGAATTCTTTGCTTTGGTGTCCTCTTCTCCTCACTCAGATGACACGACCCTCACAGGTCCTTGTTTTAAGACTTGACAATGCAGAGCCAGACGGATTATACCCCCAAGAGTCAGCAGGGTGCTAGCCTTCTAGGTAGCCAACCTGGATTCGATCCCCGGCACCCCATAGAGTCCCCAGATCACCACCAGGAGTAATCCCTGAGTGCAGAGTCAGGAGTAAGCTTTGAACACTTCTGGGTGAGACCACCCCCCTCCCCACCCCCCAAACCAAAACCAAATCAACAATGGGTGGGTTACTGTCTTCCCACCCGGGGATGCGGTAAGTGCCTGAGGTCAGAGGTAAGGGGAGGCGGCCATATCCTGACATTCCTTCCACCCCCCTCCCCCTGTTTTATTGCTGGTAACCCTCAGAACCTGTTCCCAGACCAGCTGGTGCTCAGCACCAGAGGAATAAAAAGGAGCCCGGCTGGCCAGACAGTGCCCTTCCCCCTCGAGTGCCACCTCTGGTTTCCTAATTCTTATTTCCTGAGACTCTTGCCAGGCAGCTGGGAAGTGACTGGGAAGACTCAGCAAAGGCCTGGGTTCATTTCTAGTTATGATTATTGATGTGCGACAATTATCACATTATCTGGAGCCCGAGATCTGCTCCGTAAATTATAGTGGTGGACCCGAGGCAGTTTGGTTATTTTTGTCTGCCATTATCTTGGGGGGTGGGGGGATAGGAGGGGGTGGGGAACGCCTTGAATTAAGTTCTTTGATTTTCTCACTCCTCGTTTTGTCCATCTGGATCTGCCAGACAGTCTCACCACGCCCAGCAGGCACAGGCCTGCCCCAGGGAACACCAGCCTCGGGGCTCGCCTAGAGAGTCTATGTGGAATCCAGGCCCTCAGGCATGCCTGAGCACTTGGGGCTTAAGAGAGAGAAACAATGAGAGGGTCATGGCAGGTGGAAGGGAGCAGATGGTGGGCCTTCAAAACTGATAGGGCAGATAAGGATAGTAGAGATAAGGGCCAGGAGGATGGCCTCGTGGCTCAGAAGCCGATCTTATGTGCTGGGGAAAATGATGCTTGGAGGGCTTGCTCGAGATGGGAGATGTGTGCTGAAAGTAGGCAGTGGACCAAACATGATGGCCATGTAGTACCTGTATTGCAAACCATAACACCCACAGGGAGAGAGAGAGAGGGAAAGAGGGAATGAGTCTGCCACGGAGGCAGGGTGGGGGTGGTGGAGGGATACTGGGAACATTGGTGGTGGAGAATGGGCACCGGTAGAGGACTGGGTACTTGAACATTGATTGAAATGTAACTACAGAAATTTGTAAGTCTATAACTTTATCGCACGATGATTCATTAAAGGTAAAGGTAAAGGTAAAGGCCCTCCCATTGATCATCGATTTGCTCGAGCGGGCCCAGTAATGTCTCCATTGGAGACTTTGTTGTTACTGTGTCTGGCATATCGAATACGTCACGGGGAGTTTGCCAGGCTCTGCTGTGCGGGCGAGATCCTCTCGGTAGCTTGCCGGGCTCTCCGAGAGGGGCGGAGGAATCGAACTCGGGTCGGCCATGTTGGCTGCGTGCAAGGCAAACGCCCTACCCACTGTGCTATTGCTCCAGCCCAAATGATGATTCATTAAAATAAAAAAAAAACCAAAAGTGATAGGACAGGCCAACCACATGTCAGCTGGGCTTGGCCTATAATCAACCAACCAATCAATCTATCTACCTACCTATATATCTATCGTAGCACTATCTTCCCATTGTTCATCGATTTGCTCAAGTGGGCATCAGTAACGTCTCCATTGTGAGACTTGTTACTGTTTTTGGCATATCAAATATGCCACAGGGAGCTTGCCAGGCTCTGCCGTGCAGGTGGGATACTCTCAGTAGCTTGCCGGGATCTCCGAGAGGGACGGAGGAATTGAACCCGGGTTGGCCGCATGCAAGGCAAATGCCCTACCTGCTGTGCTATCACTCCAGTCCATATCAAATCACTCCGTAATATATCAAATCTATCAATCTATCTTTTAACACATCAATCAATTTTTTAAGGGGTTTGCGATCTCTTTTACCGGGGGCTTCCCATACCCAAACACCGTTCCATGCTTTGCGTAACACTTCCTTTTCACCCATGAAGAGAACAAACACTTTCACCAATCTAGAGAACCAAGCTACTTAGGTTCTAACCTTAGGAACTTGGGTACCAGGATGGGCTGAATGGTGTCGGGGTTGGGACATACGTAAGGGAGGTGACTTCCTTTTCTGTGATCGCATCTCTTTTAGGGATAGTGATGCCAGGACAGCAAGGGGACAAAGGGGGCTGGCTCCTGGGGACAGTGCTCAGAGGCAGGAAGTGGGACTCTCTTGGTCCCAGGGGAACTATCTAACCGCACCTTTATCCGTCACTTCCAAATCTTTCTCCGGGTGGGGGAGCAGGTGGGACCCCCCCCCCCCACAACAGTATCAGCTGCTGCTTTCCTGGGGGCAGACATGCTGCTGTCTGCTTCAGACACCCCCTTCTCCCGGCCGGTCTCTTTTCCTCCCCCCATCAAAAGGAACATGCAGGTTGTGGGGGTGGGGGGTTCCGGTCTCCCCACTGGGCTCAGCCCCTCCTGGGCTGCAGCTGCCACTTACCCCAGATGGATGCTGACCAGAAGCCTTGACCCTCACCTGTGCACGGCCCATCACCCCCGAGGCTGAGGGCCCAGAGCGAGCTTGGGAGGGAGCTTACGTATGCGGTGGGTGGGACAGGCCAGCAGGACAACCCAGGACAGAGCAGGTGGGCAGCGGGGGTAGGGGAGCAATCAACAGAGTGACCATAAGAATCAGACGATCAATGGAAACTCTCTGGTGCCCTGTAGCTCTCCCCAAAATTCTCAGACTGGCAATACCACCATGCCAATCCTGCCCACTCATGACACATAACATAATTTTGGTGATGGCCAAGCCTGGCAAGCTTCCCGTGGCATACTGCATATGCCCAAAACAGTAACAATGATGATACTCATTCCCCTGACCCTGTAAGAGCCCCCAATATGCCATCAGGCTACACTAGCACGTGACAGGGATGAATGGAGACGTTACTGGTGCCTGCTCGAGCAAATCGATGAACAACGGGGTGATAGTGATGGTGATTTTTTGGGTGGCTTTGGGGGCCACAGCTGGCAGTGCTCAGTGATCACTCCTGGCAGGGCTCAGGGGACCTTAGGGGGTTCCAACCAGGGTTGGTCACATGCAAGGCAAGTGCCTTACCTGCGGTATATCGCTCTGACACTAAGATGCGATTTTAATTTTTATTTTCGCTTGATTTTGGGCCATCCCCCATGATGTTCGGGAGGTTAGTCTTGGCTCTACACCCAGGAATTACTGCTGGAGGTACTCGAGGGAACCCACGTGGGATGTTGGGGGGTGAGACTGGGTTGGCGGAGTGCGAGGTAAGTGTCCTTCCCCCCTGTGCTCTCTTCACCCTTCTCTGCAAGATATGGTCTTTTTCTTCTTTTAATATGATAATAATAATAATTATTATTATTTTGCTTTTTGGGTCACACCCAGCGATGCACAGGGGTTACTCCTGGCTCATGCACTCAGGAATGACTCTTGGCGGTGCTCAGGGGACCCTATGGGATGCTGGGAATTGAACCTGGGTCGGCCACGTGCAAGGCAAACGCTCTACCCACTGTGCTATTGCTCCAGCCCTCTTCTTTTTAAATTATTTGATTTACTTTTTATTTTGGGCTAGAGTGATAGCACAGCGGTAGGGCGTTTGCCTTGCGCGCAGCCAGCCCGGCCGAGCCAGGTTCGATTCCTCCGCCTCTCTTGGACAGCCTGGTAAGCTACCGAGAGTATTCAATATGCCAAACACAGTAACAAGAAGTCTCATAATGGAGACGTTACTTTATTTTTTTGCTTTTTGGGTCACACCCAGCAATGCTCAAGGCTAACTCCTGGCTCTGCACTCAGGAATTACTCCTGTCCGTGATCAGGAACCCTATGGGATGTTGGGGATTGAACCTGGATGGGCCGTGTGCAAGGCAAACGCCCTATCCACTGTACTATGGCTCCCGCCCCTTATTTTTTCTTTTTGGTTTTGTTTTGGGGGTCACACCCAGCAGTTCTCAGGACTTACTCCTGGCTCTGCACTCAAGGATCACTCCTGGTTGGCTTGGAGGACCATCTGGGGTGCCGGGGAACAAATCCAGGTCAGCCCTGGGCTAGGCGAGTACCCTCCCCACCATGCTGCCCCTCAACCCGACTAAGATGTGATACTATTTTTTTTTTTTGGCTTTTTGGGTCCCACCCAGTGATACTCAGGGCTTATTCCTGGCTCTACACCCAGGGATCACTCCTAGTGGTGCTTGGGAAACCCTATGGGATGCTGGTAACAGAACCCGGGTCGGTTGCATGCAAGGCAAATGCCCTCCCCTCTGGACTATCGCTCTGGCCCCCTTGGATGTGATATTCTTCAGGGCATTCACGCTTCCAACTTGAGTGCCACCATGTCATAGCAGGCGCACCGGTCAGAGCCACGGAGACAGGAGAGAGAAGATATTCATGAGAGACCCCAGAGAGGGAGAGAGTGGGAATGAGGGGTCAGCTGTGTCTCCCCGCTCAGCCCTGGACCACCAAAATTGTAGTGAGGGACGGTACTCTGAGCAACAGGGAAAAACTTGGGGTGGGGTGCTGCCTACCTGCTGTTGAAGGGGTTTTCTCCCGGGATGATGTGGGTGCTGTCTTTGCCGGCCAAGAGCTTGATGCGGTCATAGAAGGATTTCACGGCGGGTGCATCCGTCTGGCCCTTCTGGATGATGTCCAGGGGGTCCCGGGCACCCCGGCACAGCAGGCTGTTCTGGCAGGCAGACTGGAGGCAGCAGTCGGGGTCCAGACAGTCCACGAGGCCATCTGGAAGGACAGGAGGGGGGTGAGTGTGGGCGGCAGCTCCCCCAACCTGTGCCAGGCCCTTCGTACCCACCAGGTGCCCGATCTCCTACCTGGGGTGTGGCCGGCGCTAGGATGGAGAGTGCTGAAAGGAAGTAAGAATGAACTGCAAGGAAGTAAAAATGAACTGCAGAGAAGTAAGAATGAACTGCAAGGAAGTAAGAATGAACTGCAAGGAAGAAAGAATGAACTGCAAGGAAGTAAGAATGAACTGCAAGGAAGTAAGAATGAACTGCAAGGGGCTCTGCCAGACAGGGGTGTGGCAACCTAGTGTCTGTCTTAGATCTGCCTGGAACACTGCTTTTTCAATATAATGCCAGGTCCAGAGAGAGACGGGCGATTAGCAAGAAACTGCCTTGCCAGTGGCAGACCCAGATACGATCTCCCGCATCCCAGATGGTCTCTTGAGTCCCACTAGGGCTGATTTCTGAGCACAGAGCCAGGAGTAAGGCCCAGAGCACTGTTGGGTATGGCCCTCAACCCCACAAATTAGTAATTTAAGAAAAAAAATAAAGGCTAGAGTGAGCACAGTGGGGAGGGTGCTTGCATAGCATGTGACTGACCTGGGTTTGATCTCCAGGACTCTGTAGGGTCTCCTGAACCCCGACAGGAGTGATCCCTGAGTGCAGAGCCAGGAGTCAGCCCTGAGCTGACAGGTGTGACCACAAAACAAACCAACAAACCAACATAAGAGGTTCAAAACACTTCCCTTGAATCACTGTGGGGGAGATAGCATGGGGATAGAGTCTTTGCCTTATACACTGCCGACCTGTTTGATTTCGGTCCCCTGAGCACTTCTGGCAGTGACTTCTGAGTACAGGCAATGGTGGTGCCGAACACTTACTATGCCCTCCTGTCCCCCAAGGGAAAATCCCCAAACAAACTGAGCCATTATGAAGAGCCAGACGCTCAGGCCAAAAGCCCCAGCCGGCGGCTGCCAGAACAACACCTGTGCCTCAGACCCAGATTGGAATGCAGTTTCTCTCTCTCTCTCTCTCTCTCTCTCTCTCTCTCTCTCTCTCTCTCTCTCTCTCTTTCTCTGTCTCGCTCGCTCACTTTCTCACTCACTCTCCTTCTTGCTCTCTCTCTCGCTCTCTGGCCTCCCATTTCTATAAGCAAAACTAGTTTTCACCCTCTAAAATCAAAACAAAAGCAAGACAGGGGCCGGAGTGATAGTACAGCGGGCAGGGTGTTTGCCTTGCTCACGGCTGACCCAGGTTCGATTTCCAGCATCCCATAGGGTCCCCCAAGCACTGCCAGGAGTAATTCCTGAGTGCAGAGCCAGGAGTAACCCCTGTGCATCGTTGGATATAAACTGCCCCACCCCTCAAAAAAGGAAGACAAAACAAAGATAATATGGCACCCCAAAGATAACGCGACACACCAAAGATAATGTCCCACAAGACCAGAAGTCATTTTCCTGGGCTCGATGCCACACTGGATGCCTGCGGAGCAGGGGACTCTCCTACTTCTATCTCAAGGGGAAAGTCACTCCACCCTCACTACCATCAGGCCCGGGATGCTGAGGAACCAGGGCCCTGACATTTGGCCTTTTCCAGAAAGGCAGGGTGGGGTGCGGAAGTGGTTCTGATGAGAAGGCTCCCAGGCGGTACCTCTGAGTCACCCACATGCTTCTGCTTCCCTTCTGCTTGTGAGGATTTTAAAAGATTTTATACTTTATATAAAATATATATAAATATATAAAAATCCAGGGCCCCTTGGAGGTGGGCGGGTTGAGTTTCCCTCCCCGCCCCGAGCAGAACTCCGGCATCCAAAGACCTCCAGAACCAGCCAAAACCATGTTGAGACCACTATCCACATGCATGAAGGTACCGGCAGAGGAACAAAGGCATGCGGGTCCCGGGGCTGAGATCTCCAAGCCTGCTCGGATCAGGGCTGAACATCCTCCACCCAGATCCTCCATCTTCCAGTAGGCAGGGGTCACACCCACCAACTGACCCCCTGCGCTGTGTAATCCCATCAACAACCAAGATGCAGAGACTATAAAACCCAGCTCCAAGAAGCGCGTGGCCACGCCGACATCTTATCTCATTCTTACTTTGGACAACCTGGCAGGCTATCGAGTGTAACCTGCCCACACAGCAGAGTCTGGCAAACTCCCCGTGGTGTACCCAATATGACAAATATCAGTAACAATGATGGGTCTCATTCTCCTAACCCTGAAAGGGCCTTGAATATGGCACTTTAAAATCTCAGGACTAGGATGAAGGAGACGTTACTGGTTCCTGCTCAAGGCAATCGATGAACAACAGGATGATCGTGATTGTGATCATGATATTTTATATCTACTGACCTTTTAATTGGTGACAGTAATTGTACTAGTGTCTCCAAAATAATTTCTTAGGAGGGGGCAGGTAGGGAGGGTGTGAGAAATTTTCTCTCTAATTTCCTCATAAGATTATGGTAGCATGGTAGCACTGCACTGCACTGTCCTCCCATTGTTCATCGATTTGCTCGAGTGGGCACCAGTAACGTCTCACAAAAAATTGTGAGACTTGTTGCTACTGTTTTTGGCATATTGAATATGTCACGGGGAACTTGCCAGGCTTTGCTGTGTGGGCGAGATACTCTCGGTAGCTTGCCAGGCTCTCCGAGAGGGCGGAGGAATTGAACCTGGGTCAGCCATGCCTTAGCTAATATTGCTTCTCACCATTTCACAGAAAGCATAGTATTTTATTTTTTAAGTTTTTAAACTTTTCCAGAGCAATATTAGACTCTGTCAATGGAATTTTTTTTTCTTTTTGGGTCACACCTGGCGATGCTCAGGGGTTGCTCCTGGCTCTGCTCTCAGGAATTACTCCTGGCAGTGCTCGAGGACCATATAGGATGCCGAGGATTGAACCGAGGTCAGCCATATGCAAGGCAAACACCCTACCCACTGTACTATCACTCCACCCCTGACAATGGACATCTAAAAAAAATTTAGTTACACAATGCTAATTTTTATTTGAAAGCAAGCACCCCCAAAGCAAATGGGGGAAGGTGTTTACACATCACAGATCTGACAAGGGAGAGAACGTACACAAATTCATGGCTACCACTCCCCAACATTAACCATTTATGGCTGGAGCGATAGCACAGTGGGTTGGGCATTTGCCTTACAATCGGCCAACCTGGGATCGATTCCCAGCATCCCATATGGTCCCCTGAGCACCACCAGGAGTAATTCCTGAGTGCATGAGCTGGAGTAACCCCTGTGCATCGCCAGGTGTTACTCCAAAAGTCCGCCCTCCCCTCCCCTCAAATAAATTAACCATTTAAAAAAAGGGCAATGTGGGCTAGAGAGATAATACAGGGGCTAGATGACTCAGGTTTGACACCTAGTGCCACGTGGGGTCCCCTGAGCCCGGCCAGATGTGCTCCCTGAGCACAGAGCCAGGAGTCATTCCTGAGCACTTCTGGGCGTGGCCCCAATGCCTTACCGCCCAAATGGGCAAAAGGCCCCCAGAGATGCTTCTTGAAACAGACTCCAAGATGGCCCGCAGTCTGGGGATGTGTACCCAGCGTCGACTCTTAGGGATGAGAGACTCAGAGGCTCAGAGAGATGTCACTGCACACCTGTGAGAACATCCTCTGTTGGGGGGTGGGTGAGAGCCCTCCCTGCCCCCAAAGGACCCAACCCCAGAAGCTGGAAACATCATAAGACACTCTCTACCCATTTTCCATAAGTACCATACCAGATTTGATGGGGATCAAATAGTAGGCAATAAATCACAGAGGGAAATTTAGATAATATATATGCTTACATACATATTTTCAGAGATATATACGAAAGCTCACAGTACTCGACTTTTTTTTTAAATGTTTTTTTATTTTTTATTTTATTATTATTATTTTTTTTTGCTTTTTGGGTCACACCCGGCGATGCTCAGGGGTTACTCCTGGCTCATGCACTCAGGAATTGCTCCTAGCGGTGCTCAGGGGACCATATGGGGTGCTGGGAATCGAACCTGTGACGGCCATGTTGGCTGCGTGCAAGGCAAATGCCCTACCCACTGTGCTATCGCTCCAGCCCCAGTACTCGACTTTTAACAACATGTTAGTGGTCACTGTCCTCCCATTGTTCATCGATTTGCTTGAGCGGACCCAGTAACATCTCCATCGTGAGACTTGTTGTTACTGTGTTTGGCATATTGAATACGTCACGGGTAGCCTGCCAGGTTTTGCATGTGGGCGAGATACTCTCGGTAGCTTGCTGGGCTCTCCAAGAGGGGCGGAGGAATCGAACCCAGCTCAGCCGGGCTGGCTGCACGCAAGGCAAATGTCCTACCGCTGTGCTATCGCTCCAGCCCTTGTTAGTGATATCAACAGTTAGTGATATCCCTCTAAAGAGAGGGACAGACATTACAGAATGTCTTAATGGCCCCTGCCAAAACAGACCAATCTTCACACTGTCTCCTCTATGAATACATTTTTTTGTAGCGTTTTCAGCATTTTTTTTCATAACAGACAATACAAAAAAAATATTATTTCTGTTGTGCTTTGGGACAGGGCTTGGGATTTGGGAAGGATTCATCCCAAATTTGGGCTGGTGGGAAGGTGTCATGGTGGTGGGTTTGGTGTTTGAATATTAAATGTAATCAAATATCGTGAACTACTTTATAAAAAATCAAAAGAGAATAGCCTCTGTCTGGGGGGCAGCAGGTGTGGGGCAGGAGGCAGGAACGTGAGATGGCGCAAGCTTGCTGGAAAGAAGCGTGAAGATTTCTTCCGGAAACCAACCCGGAAGTTCTCTAGGAGCCAGTGAGGCCCTCCTGGGCCTGGACCCAGAGGGCAAGACATGCTCACTCAGGGCTGGGGAGAGATTGCCAGGGAAAGAATCATGCATGGGGTAGAGCACTTGCCTGGTACCTGCAAGGACCCAGTTCTGACCCCCCAGTAACACACGGTCCCCGGAGACTCCTGGGAACTGAGGCATCAGGTCTACTCTGGCGCTTGCTCTT